TACATGAAACATGTTGACAGTGTTCTCAACAAATTAGTACTATATATTCGGACATATCAGTTGTGTCACTGATTTTGACTCCTTTTATGTACGTACTACTATTTACAACCGATGAAAGGCTGTTATTGGATTTGATTGTAGCAAACAGTGTTTCTTCAAAAGAGTTTTTTCAATGTTTCTTGTACGAATATGGACTAGGAATATTTTTTTTACAATACCAAAAAAAGCTGATGGAATCGGCCATAAATCACTATTGATATATAATGATGTATCCAGCGGTATTGTGACTTCAGTTCTGAAAGTCAAATATTATTGGAAAGATATCGATACGAATAATATTCTGTATATGAGTTCTATTAGTGAGTGGTGGCGCATCTAAATTGTAAACACAACCACAGAAACAATATCGAAACAATGTATTATAAATCTTTACAAGAGTTAGCGGGTAGTTACTGGTGTTTTGATAAGTATTAGTGGATATATACAGAGTGAACTAGTTAAGATCTCTGATAAGGACCATGAACACCTGAAATCGACTAAACGTCTGGCGTGACTAATTTTTTATCGTGTTTTTCGAATACTCTTTTCGAACGTTGAAAGAAATGAGATACAAACTTTCATTAGATGCAAGATATGACTAAGTAAATTCTATCTAAGCACCAGCTCAATGTTTTGAAATTCTTTCCTGTACTTATTACTCTGCTTAAATCACAGACATTCCTATAGGATTCAGAATATCGACATTGAGTAATAGAAATTTGAGTGATAATATATAGAGACCTACAGCTTTCTGAATTGATAATTGAGACACTACTTGAGAAATGAAAAGAATATCTTGAAAAAAATAATGCTAAAGTGGAAAAAGAACAAGAAAAGAAGCAATTTATGAGAGCGTATGTGTTCAATGAAAAGGATAAAACCATTCGTACAAATTCCAACTTGCCAGAAATGCATCTAGGAGCAATAAGACAATGTGCAAATAAATCATGAACAATACAGATAGTAGTATGGAATTCATTATGTCTCGTTTTCAAATATCAATAATTTGAAAATAATGAATTAAATTATAAATAGTCAAAAGAAGAGAAGTAACTATTGAATTACGAGTTGATGATTGATACTAGCATGATCTTGAAGAATAATAAAAGTTTAGACGACTCTATAAAGAGAAGTAAAAGAATGTTAAGATTGAAGCTGAAGTGTTGGTTCCTATAGTTTCATGCTCACTGAAGTAACTATCGAGTGTCTCAAGGTAATCATGCAAATCTAGCCTTCACATTTGAATACAGTTGTGTATTGTCAGGTTTTGCTCTATGGTCGTATTCAGAAAAATTAGAAAAAAAATTACTGAAAATGTCTCTACTTTTAGTTTAAGCATGTAAAACAACGAGACATGACATTTTTTTTTATCATCGAAGGTAGCCGTGTAAGCAATTCTTGTGATACTTACCTAGACATTTTGTTTCTGTTATTGATTGTGAAAAGCTAAAAATACTTCATATCTCTTCGTTTTGAGGATGTGAGTGAAGGTGAGTAAGAATAGCTATCACAACCGAGATTGCTGTCCTGCTAAAAATTTCATCAAATTGGTTATGGATTTGGGTGATGCTGTGGATCTTCTATTCTCGTTGAAAGTCGTAAGCAGCCGAGATTTAGAAAAACTGATATTTTGCGTTACGCTAAGTAAAAGAAAAGATTTTCAATATGATTATTATGAAAAAAGGTCTCATTAATTCAGTAATTCTGTAACAGGAAGCTGTTTAAAGTCGAATGATATCTGTAATTGCACACAACAATTGAGGCTATCATACTCTATGTTCAAGTCGAAATCGAGTTTTTGATCGGAAAAGGGAGAGTATCTTTAAACATTTAAGGTCCCCCCCCCCGCTCTCAGAAATGATTTTCCACTTAGAATGGGTCTTTTGAGCTGAAAATTTCAGGGATGAGTGATCCTGGAGAGATACGCCTCTGGTAAAAATTTCAGCTCTATAGGTCATACTAGACCGGATTTCCAGCTGATTCATAGACCATTTTTGGCCTTCAGGAGAATCTGGATAACTTCGTCGCAATACGAGGTATAGAGCTCGCGGTGGTCTCAAATTAAACCCAATGTTAGTACGCAACTTTTCATCAACCAGAATGTTTAAATTCCATATTGTTCATTTTTTATGAATATTTTAGTAGGCATGTCTTGAAAAAAGCATAAAAAACAGCGATCTGACGACAGTAAATTCCACTTTTCTCAGCCCAGGAATCGATTTTAAAAAAAAACTGGTTGATGAAAAGTTTCCTCTCATTGAGACCTTTAAAACAAAAAGAAATATTAGTTTTAGCTCGAGATATGAAGGAGTGATCCCAATTTTCCTGATTGAAAACTATGTTTTGAGAAAAACGCTAAAGAAGTTTTAGAAATGAAGTTTTTCATTCAAATGCAGGAAATAATGGTATATTGATAATATTTATGTGAAATTTTTGAAAGCACGCAATAGATGGCATAACCTATCAGTACAGATCGTACTATATGATATAAGAATGTTTATCCCATGCTGATAGAAGTAAAAAAGTAGTCTTCCCAAAAATGTAGTGAGATGGAAATCTCCTACGAAAGTATGTAAAAATTTGGCCTTTTTTTTAAATTTATATATATTCTGAAAGAGGAAACTTCGCTGCATCTTCCTATGATAAAAACTCGACTTCGATTACTTTACCAAAAAATGGATTTTCTGAGGGGGGGACGCTAAAGAATAAAATGCTTGATGAAGTCTTTAAGTGACTGTGAATCACTACAAGTCGCTGAAGTTCGTAAACAACAGTATCGTATTTCTTTTTCTTTCAGTTCTTTACATCGCACAAAATGAGAATATAAGAATTGTCTCCCCTATAAAATAAGGTGCAATAACAACAACAGAACGGGAAAAAGTGAATAGTTGTCACTAAATGAGTAAATGAGTGGCTGCTATTTTTTTCATCGCTATAACCATTATATTAGACGAGCTATGATTCATTTAGCTTCCTTTGTCGCAATGAATATTCCCTGGATCTTACGATATCGCCAATAGAGAATCACAAAGTAATGGCAATATTATTGAGCAATAACTCATTCCAACAATAAATACACACAACCACGCTCGTTTTTTTTTCATATCTGCCACCAAAATAACCATAACCACAAGACTCTCGATGCAGCATCGTAGCGAACACATAACGACTAATATCAAATCTACCTGAAGTAAAAAATATGGAACAGCGCTTCAATATGAAAAACATACGTTGTCAGGTTGTCAAATTTTGTTTTTACTCTTTATCGATCAATTATTTTTATTAGAGGTAGTAATTTATCCTTATTTTTCTTTACGATACAGAATATATACAAAAAAAATCTTTATTTTTATAAAATAACGATAGATCATTTTCTTTTATTTGTCTTTATAAAATAAATATAAATGAATTCTCTATTTTAAAAAAACAATAAAGATAAATAAAATAACTAAGAAAGATTTTTTTACAAAAGCCCCATCTTTTATTTCTTCAAAGTAGTTCATAAAAAACTATTGTATTATAGATACAAAAAAAAAATAGAGACCAGATTTGTTGCGCATATCTTTTCATGTATCATTCTCATTTTAGAACAACATCTCATATAAAAGTATTGTTGCCGTTAAGAAAGAACGCTGATTACCATATCCTGTTGTTATATTAGGTAATTGTCTATTTGCCTATCACAGAAAAATCTTTCTGCACTTTTTAACTTATCATTATTCTTTAAAAGTAAAGCATTTATTTATCATTATTCTATACATATCAAGATTTGTTGTATTTATATTTATTTTATAAAGTGAATATAAATTATCGCCTCCAGTCTTTACATTTTATTGAATAAATCGGAGCCATCTATTATTTGCCAAGCTTCTTACTAAACGTAGTACAACTATGACTCATTACTCATGAGTTATTTGTATCATCGTATCTGAATATTTTTATGCAGCTACTAGTTAGTTCCTTATGAATCTATCGTCAGCAGCTTAGTATTTCAGTAGAAATATTCAAATTGCCAACTTTTCAAATGGTGTCTACTTGGTTTTTTCTAATACTACTCAGAGTTTTCTTTCCCGGCTGAACATATTTTCGTACAAGTTCTGATGTCTGTAACACTACAAGCTTATCGTATCACTTCGGATATATTTCCTGTTAAGTGCTTGTGAAATAAATTGTGAAACAGGATTGTTAAGAAATCTTGAGGTATGTCGCGAGAAACGTGAAGATCCTTGCTCCTTCACTACTGATCGTGTCAGCCATCTCAATCTGTTTGTCATAGTTTATCACAATCTAGAGGATTTTTTGACATACTTGTTTTTTGATCCACTCGTAAGCTATAATAGACGTGTTGAGGATCGTCTATATAATGCCTAAGATAACTTCATTGTGTTTCATATTTTAATTGTATAGAACTTAAGCTGAAAGCTTTTTTGACATACTATTGAAGAATGTCAAAACACTAAATGATCTAGATATAATTATGAATGTCTCTGAATCTCTGGGTCATCGCTTATGATAAGCTAGATTTTCTTTAAAAAATGATAGCTAACAATATAACTCGTTTCAATACTTCGATTTTCTTTTTATGATTGACTCGGTAGTTGTTCATTCTTTTTACATAGTACACTAGATTATCCGTGAATCTTATTTGTATAAGACTGTAATAGGTAGGATATGACCTGTTTGATTTTTATATGTTCTATTTCTCAAATCACTTAAAACTCTAAATAGTGATGTACAGATAAAATTTTTCAGGAACATAATCAGTACATTAAAATAATTTTCAACTCAATAGTTTCTCAATTGATTGAATTTAAAATTATTTCAGATTTTGACTTGCAAAGCTTATCGACAAGTATTATTACCTAGGTACTACTGGAATAAGATATCACATCTAAATTAATAAAATCGTTAGGTCAACTGTCCTTGACACTACGAACTATTTCAGTGGTACTCGATTCTTAATGATGTTGGACTGCGAACAGAAAGAAGGCACGCATGAATGCATGGAAACACTGCACAATAATCAAGACGTAGTATCAACAGCCGATATACATGAGAATCGTCATCAGTTGCAAGGCATTCTGGCGGGTGCCGTAGTTCGACCAGAACCTCTTTTTTACAGAAAAACAAGACTCATCATAGATACACATTATAATCGTGAACACAACATACTTCTCAATGGATTAGAAGAAATAGAATTCCAAGGCATCAAACTTATTTCACTTGACAAATTGTTTGACAATAAGCATGAAATATTTCTTGGATTTGGACTACCGAATGTTTATTTGACTGTTCCAAATCAAAATGGCGACGGATACGTTAAATTTGCTGCATTCATGATTTGGCGTCAATGTAGTGCAATCATCGATACGAAAGGTCGTGTACAATCGGGATTTCTGATTCGTTTTCGAAATTTACCGCAAGATGCATTAGCAGCAATTCGACAAGCCATGTTGAAACATTCAAATAGTCGACATGTGTCTTGTGCATATGCCAATGCATGTGTATTAAGCTCGGCTGGATTTACTTGTGATGGTGCTGACTTGAATAATCATTTTGGTGCTCGTTCTTTGTTTCAGCAAATTTTTGAGGATGGTTTGGAATATAAAGGTGAACCATTAACGCTAGATTTCATACGTACAACTCGATTAACACTCGAAGAACATTTTAGTGAAGTACGGAAAAAAGAAATCACCAGTTTAGGTCGAACATGCAGGAAAGTTATCAATGAATGCCTGCCATCTGGGAGTCATCTTCGAGCACCCTTACTCGAAGCAAAACTTACTCCAATGAAACCGACCGTTGTTGGCGATAGTGATTCATTGACACGTTTAGAAATTTCTCATCCTGGTTTCTTTGGAGCGACAATAAGAAAAATCATTGGATCGCATACACTCTTTAAATTAATTCCAAACAAAGAGCAAGTCAACATTAATAATTATCTTCCACAAACACTTCGGGCTTTCGCAATGAAAAATCCAAGCTTGGCAACTCGAGTCAAGAAGTATGTACTTTTCTCTCGTGCCATTGTCGTTACAATACGAAATCAAATGGCTTCGTGTTGGGATGATCATGGATATTTTTCTCCTGGACCTTTGGCATCTATGATGAGTATTCACACTAAAACCGAGCCGCATCCGTATAATATAGTGATTACTGGTGATTTTATCATTGGTATGCATAATACTCCGGGTTTAAAGCTCATAGATTGGATGTTATCAAAACATGTTCTCATATCTGGTTATGATGATGACGTGCGTTTTGCCGGTGAAGCTTGGATGGAACATCAAGAAGATGGTTTGGTTCTTCATTTGTCGAACAACTCTGGCACTTATCAACCCACCAATGATCAACTTGAAACTGCTGGAAAATATGTTTCTGCTGCATTACCTGGTCTAAAAGTAGAACTTCATTCAAATGCAACATTGTCTTCATCACCTTTGAAGCCAGTTCGCGAAGAAGTTAAGTTTTTTACAGTCAAACATATTCTGATACTCATATTAGCATGTATGCTTGCTCTATTTTTTCTTATGTTTGGCAAATCGAAATCAACACTGTGAAAAACATTGCTACATTTGCGCGTATATTTAATGTTAAGTTTACACAAGGACGATCATTAAATTCTTACTTAATCAGTTATTTAATCTAAACTGTGTCTGACAGAATAACTTTCAATTTGTATTGATTTGAGTATTAAATAAACGTAAAATACAGTTAAGCAAATTCAACATTATCATTCACGTGAATCTCCAAACTGACAACTCTACATAAGGGTAAGACTTATAAACATGTCAATTATATGAGTTTCTAACGAACAAACAAAATCTTTTCAAAGTCTTACAGTTTTAGTCAGAGTATTTACAAATGAAAAAAATATAAACAGATATGACTGGGGAAATTGTCAATAAACCATCAATAATTTTGGGTTGAATATGAAAAAGTGTCATCTGTTTATTAATACAAACTGACTGGTAGATAGGTTCTATCAGGTATGGTTGAAAAATACATGTGCCAATTTAAGTGCAATGTTATTAGTTAACTGAATTGTTATTGAATTGGAAATGGATATATTTAATAATAATTTTGTCAAAGACAGATGCACCAATAGTTTGTTCTGATTTTCTTGTGTAATCCATGTATTTTCAAACTTTTTCCATGCAAATCAAAATAAACCGAACAATTTATTGATATTTTTTAAACAAGATTGGCATTGAGCGCGCTCTGCCTAACGACAATTCCGATATCATTTTTCTCATTGATTTAGTGAATTTAAGGTAAATTTTTGATATTCAAACACATACGGATCTCCAGATGACATATTCTCGTGTCTCTTTGCATGAAGTACTTGTGTTAAGTCATAGACAGAAAGAAAAAGCACATGAATGGAAAGAAAATTGCTGACAAGTTATGTATGGTCCTCACCAATGTCATTTTACTTATTTGCTCTCTATTGTACTCGTTTCCTCTATAAGTCTACGTGCTACGTCTCTTCCATTTTTTTGCATATCGCTTGCTGCACCTATCTTGTTTTCATTTACTGAG